TTCTTACTCATTGTAGATATGCCAAATAAATTTTTCAATTTTTTATTTCATTGTAAAATATACTCAAATAAATTTTCTTTGTTTTGTCACAAGTATATAACGTTTATCAGTTTATATTTTGTTAGTTTTCCCGTTTTTAATTTTAGTCTCAAAAATATAAATAGTATTAACCTATCACGTGGATAAATTATATTTTTGTCAAGTTTTATCATGAGTAATAGTAGGCCGTCAACTAGTTCCTTGCCAAATCCTAATGATACTTTTTGCCTTGGAGAAATTACTCATTAACGGATTTGTAGGCAATTTGCTCGCAAATTTTGATTAAATTTGTTTTCGTAATCATTTAAAGTCCAGAAGAACCCGAATGACATGCACAATTGCAAATAAACCGTAAGTAAAAAAAAAAATTTTTTTAATATAGGATCAGCAAATTTAAAGTACCGTAAATCTCCGTAAGAATTAAAATTACAGTACTACAAATTTACGAAAGAATTCAAAAAAGTGCATCGATCTCCAAATTTTATTAAATAGCTTTGCATACTAAGTAATGATGTTCAGCAGGTCATGATGATTAGATCATCAAAATTAGTTCAATATTCGTTAAGATATTGAAATCAAAAGATTCGCAAAGTTTTTTAATTTTTACGCAAATTGAAAACTTCACAAATTTTTCTACTTCAATATCTCAACGAATACTGAATTAATTAACCACCGTTAGAACCAGAATGACTTATTGAATAACGTTACTTTGTGCAAGTTTGCGAATTTTTTTTTTGTAAATTTCGTAGTAATGCCCGTAAATGATCTGGTCATTTTCAAATGAATCTCAAAATGATCGCTCATTTGAGATCATTCAAATTGACCGCCATTAGGTCATTTCGCATATAGAATTGAAATCCTATTACAGTATTAGTCACGAAAACCTGTGTAATGTTTGAATTTACATAAGTTCTGCATAGAGATTGTAACTTTTTATAAATCAATCAGTAAAATAGACAAATTGAATCGATTCTGCGCAAAGCATGTGATACTGTATAATATTTGGATTTCTGAAATAAAAAGAATCCATAAATTATGATCAAAAATCATTCAACTATACAGTATGTTGAATGGTTGTTAAAAATTTAATCTTGCTGATAAAATTTATCATAGCAAAAAATGAATGTTTACATATTGAAAGCAAATATTTATATAAATTTACAAAGCATTTCAAATAAAAATATTTGATCTGTTTACACAAAATTCTGTCAAAAATCTCAAACATTAAAAACATAAATGAATACATTGTTCAAAAATAAAAATAAAAATATCAAATAATATATTTTCAGAACAATTACATTAACCCTTATCAACGTGACTCTCTATCGAAACCTGACGATCTGCCATAATAATTTGTATGATTCCTATGGGCGTAAGAAGAATGTGATCCTAATGGGCGCTATTAATTGATTAACAAATTCACGCTTAGCAAACATATATAGGTCTTCAATACAAAATGTAGGATAATATTCCTACCTGCCAGGCATCAGACGGTCGCTATATTTCAGAAGAGAATATATTAATTTATGTAGCTTGCAATTTAATTATCAGTAATGTAAACTTTATGCTTACATAGAAAGGTGGAACAGGTTCATATGGTGCATCAAAATGTTCTGAGTGAGACATAAAACGATCATGCTCTCCAAAGTGCATACTTCGGCTCTAATAAAGGCAAATAGTATATTAGCAATTAAATAATATGACCGATTTTATAAAATATCAGAGCTGTGAAAAAAATAATTTACCAGTCGCATTCTGCTATATTCTAACGAATCAAGTTGACTACGGTTACGTAGCCTATTAAAAAAAAAAAAAAAAAGAATGAAAATTTATTTGAGTATATTTTACAATGAAATAAAAAATTGAAAAATTTATTTGGCATATCTACAATGAGTAAGAA